TCCTCGCGTATTGTTTGATTCTTAGCCCTTTGTAGGGTGGTGCCACGGACAATTCGCCGAAGGATAGAGTTCTGGAAGCCCTGTAGACTCGTAAGCGTGGATTTATATAGGTATCGCAGGAGAGGGGCCCCGTGGAGCAGTGTTGGTCTTATAACAGCTTTATAAATTTGGAGCTTGAGTCTCAGCGAGAGCTGCGGCGACGTCAGTAGGTGGTAGAGCCGGTGCGACTTCTTTCGTGCCAGCTTGATCCTCTGCCTAACGTGATTGGAGAAGGTCAAATGTCTATCTAGCGTGACGCCGAGGTAGACAATCGAGGTAGAAATTTTATGATAAACTCCTCCAACGGTGAATTGTGTGGGTAGATGCTTCTTTCCCTTCTGAAACGACATGACAATAGCATCAGTCTTCGCAGGATTCACTCTGATACCGATCTCTTCTAGCTCTTCAACAATTGTGGCTGAAGCATTCTGTGCCAGAGTGAGTGCAGTCTCCGCGTTGATGCTGGAAGCATATATGCCAATGTCGTCCGCATAGGCTGCTACCACCGCCTTTGGATGCTTGAGTGCCACCACTGGCGCCGTGAAAACGACGAACAGTATTGGCCCCAACACAGACCCTTGAGGTACTCCGCAGGTGGTATCGACTGGGTTTGAGTAGTCTGTACCAACTCGTACGACGAGAGATCTTCCGCTGAGGTAGCTTCGGATCAGTCGGCATAGAGTGGTAGGAAACCTGAACTCTTCCAGACGGCGAAGTAGATGCGTGTGTGACACGCAGTCAAAGGCCTGACTGCAGTCCAAAGAGATGAGCGCCGTAGCTCTGTTGAGACTCATTTCATCTATTGTGTGGGCCTGAAGTTTAGCTAGGTGGTGTTCACACGCGACCCCTCTCTGGAAACCAGTCTGCTCTGGTGGTATGATGCTCTCTTTCCAGCAGTGCTTCATAAGCTGATGGTGGATTAGCCTCTCGAAAATCTTGCTGATGTGCGAGAGGAGGCTGATCGGACGATAGTGCTCAGCTGAGTCCCCGTTCTTCGCCGGCTTGAGTAACGGTACAACGATCGCTTGTTTCCATGCGGTAGGAAAGTATGAGATTCGAAGACATGAGTTGAATATGTTCAGTAGAAAGGCTTTACCCTTCCTAGGGAGCATCTTCAACAGTACGTACGGAATCTCATCCAGTCCAGACGCTTTGTTTCCTTTGGTGCGTCGTAGCGTCGACTCCAGCTGGTTGAAGGTAGAGAAGACGGGTTCTTCGTTGGGACTGGGCAGTGGTCCTTCCGGCATTGGTGGTGCATTTCTCGTCCGCTCAGCATCCCTCGCTTCATAGCTTTTGGCCAGGAGTTCAGCCTGTTCCTTAGGTGTCAGCAGCTCATTCCCCGACGTCAGGTGGACAGTCCTCTTCTTGTTAACGAACGTTCGGACCAGTCTCCAGAACTGGCGGTGGTCATTATGAGTCCTCCGGAGCTGGTCATGCCAGAGTGAGGTCTTCCAGTCTCGCATGAGGCTGGCTATCTGCCGGGTCATCGCATTGATGGCCGGTTTCAAGCTGTAGTCACGCGTGCGCTGAAAGATGTTCCTCAGGTTGTTCCTCTGACTGATCAGGGCGAGGATGTGACGTGGTGGTCTCCTGATGGCGTTGGGCTGCGGAGCGAACCTAGGGATGTTCAGGTTGGCTGAATCCTGGATAGTGGTGGTGATGACATCCACCGCCTCGTTTACCTCTTCTACTGTCTGGCACGGCGTTACCGCCGGTAAAGTGGATTCAACGCTAGACCTGTATCCTTTCCAGTCGGCCTTGTGGAGTAAGTATTTACTCGCCGGTGGTTTGGCGGGTGTGCCCTCGATCGTGTAGAGCACAGGCCGGTGATCCGACGGTCCATACGGAAGCGCTTGGCAATCCGTAATGATGTGCAGATCCCTGGTTAATAGCAGGTCCAGCGTTGATGTCCAATCAGGTCGGGCTGAATGCCGGAAAGTGTGTACACCTGGGTGAAAGACGGCCAACCTAGTCTTGGTAATGTACTTCCCCAGTGGATTGTCGCTACCACACAGCCAGGAAGTGTGTCGAGCATTGAAGTCCCCAAGGACTACATGCCGACCCGTCACCTGGGCATGTTGTAGCAGCAGCTTAACAGATGTCAGTCCAGCCCTGGGTCTCCTATAGACACAAGTGAATGTGAACCGACTCTTAAGTCGCACGTCAACTGTGAGTAAGTGAGTTCCCTCGGTTGGTTCCACTGGGTTCGGGACGGATCTCGAAGGTACATCTTTTCTGACCAGGATGGCTACTCCCTCTCGAGACCCTGGTGCACACACCTCTCGGTATATAGTGTACCCCTGGAAGTATGGACGAGTCGAGGTGTGAAGCATGGTGTCTGTCAACGCCACCACTGAAGGTCTATGCTGCTGAAGAAGGAGCTCGATTTCAGCCTGCTTCTGGAAGAGGCCTCTGGTGTTGAAATTCATGACGAGATGATTAATCATGATGCTTCTTCGTCATAGCATCTAGCATGCGGGCAACTATATCCATCAGCTTGTCCATTCTTGTCAGCATCGTCATCACTAGAGACGTCAGGGAGGCATCGGTACTTGTTGAAGGCTGAGGCGATTGCGTTGGTGCAGTCTGTTCCTTGAACTGGGTGGCGTGCTGGTGGTGGGGATGAGACTGGTGGTGGGGAGAGGTTCCTTCTGATTGGACCGGCGCTCCTCCGCTTGCTGTGCTGTATGCCAGGCCCTCCTGGACCCACTTACTCTGTTTGCTGGTATTCGTTTTCGTCGGTGTTCCTTTGGTGATTTCCCTAATTTTCTTCACCAACTCCTGTCTCTTCAAGCATTCTTTGGAGGAGGTGGGGTGGGCACCTTTACAGTTTTTACACCAGGGAGTTACTGTCTTCGGGCACTGTTCAAGGGTATGGACACCTCCACACCAGGGGCACGCACATGTTCGGCCACAATATTTCATAGTGTGTCCGTATTCTTGACAATTTCGGCACTGTGCTGGGACCCCATCTTCTTTAAAGATGCTCACACGAAATTTACACTGCGATATATGATAAAGTTTAGCAATGTCTGTCAGCTTGACCGAGTCGTCTGTAATTATCTGGATCAGCTCGATAGGTTTTGGTGGTTCATTCGGGTTGTATCTCTTTGTGAGTCTTCGGGCGAGTCTGAATCCTGGTAATCTGGTTTTTAACTCCTCGACTATCTCCTCGACGGGGAAATCAATATCGAATCCGTGAAGCACATATTTTCGAGATCGCTTAGTGCCTCTGGGAGCAAAACTGTGGAATTGTACCCTATTGTCCTGGCGCAACAGTAAAGTGGCTTGAAAGTGGTCATTCTCGGAGTTGACATACAGCCGAGTTTCTTTTGATGATGAATTGATAGAGAATAATGTTATATTATTCTCGATCAGTATATTTTTCAGCGCTGCCTGGGCTATCGGAGGTGCTATGATGATTGGCGGCGGTCTGTTTTTCTCCGGTAGATTCACTCTCAACACGGAAAACTTGTTGGCAATTGGGATCTGGGAAGGCTTTTCCGGGACGGTACGGGCGGGAAACGTGTGTCGTTTGGCTACTGGGGCGTAGCCTTCAGTATCCGATCCAAGGCCTTCGCTGTCAGTTTCGTGAATCCTCTTCCCACTTTTATCTTCGGAGGCCTCAGGCTCTGGAATCTCCATAGGAAGGTTCTCATTCTGGTTCGCCATCACGAATGAAGGAAGAAAGGAGGTCCGCTTGTCAGCGCGACGCTGCCCTCACTCGAGAGAGTAACTGCTGAGGTTTGGTCCAAGGGATAAGTATGGACCCCAACAGTATTAAAGGGCGCAAGCTTAACAAGCAGAGAAAGTTAATAGTGGTCTCACGTCACTATCAAAGATAGCAACGCCAAAAATATATATGACACAATTTGTTTTGGCAATGAATGTTTTCTTATTTCTATGACAAAATAATACTTATCCTTACTAAATATTACATATATAGGTAAGTGAAAGTAAAAAATATATATGGTTTATAATTTCAAATCCGAATTTTCAACGGAAATAAACGTTTTTAGGTCCCCAAAGTCCAAATAACCAAGCTTCGCAAAATAATTTGTGTGTATCATGGGTCAAAATAAATATACCAAATAGGTATTTCATAGAACTTGTTACGTAAAAGTTTAATAATTCTATATATCAAACATGGTAACACTTACCCACTCCTACAAATCGATAGCGGGATCAAGATAATCGTACAGGATAATATTTTATAAACTGGCATTTCACAAAATAAAGCGCCTTTTTAATCCAAAATTATAGATGTATTTATCTCCTCCTAGAAGATTTTGTAATGAAAACCATCAGAGATTAATAAATCTGGATGTATGGAAGATACAGTAAACATCGAATAACTTACAGATTTGATTTCTGGCTGTCAGTGCTCAGACCACGCTCTACTGCTCTAGTTTTTTTTTTTTTTTAACGCTGGGAACATAAGATGATTTAATCCAGTTTTTCACCAAGTGGACGAATGTCGGGTTATAATGCACCATTCAACCTTAAAAGTGATAGATTGGTCTTAAACAAAACCACGCACAGGGAATATTGTAGCAGTGTGGAATAAATTGAAAGTTTGGTCGTAACCTCATTTAATCCGAGGTTTCCAGGGGTGGCTAACGTGTTTCAAATGCCAGTAAAACAAGTTATAGAGCTGCTAATTGTCATCCCATGTATACATACATACCAAAGTGAAAAAAATCATCGAAGTTATCAGAGCCCGTAATCTGCTAAAACCATTGAAATAACACCCAAATTAGTTATTTCAACTATAGTGTAATGTAATTACACGTAAAATCCTCTCCCAAATATATTAACGTGAATCTGAGTTTCAAATTAATAAGTTTTTGAACTGTTGTCAAATAACGTGAGTTTAGTGATTGTAATAGCTTCTTGACCATTACCTTAATTAAGTAATTTAAAATAGGAACATTTATTAAGATAACGTCACCTCTTATCACCTGGTTTGTACATAGATACATTAGCAAAATTATTATATTATTAAAGTGTGAAAAAAACTTTAGTTTATATTAGTATGGTCTATTTTATAAAAGAAAAAGAAATCATTTTTATCAAACGTAATTCCTCTTTATTGAATGAAATTGAATAAGCGACAGAACATTCTTGTGGATTAACTTTGAACCTTGATATATGAGAGAAATTATTTTCGAACTTACATGACCAGTTTATTGAAAAAAACAACCTGAGAAATTTAATCATTTCCTTGAGACGTGTATAGGACCTTATTATAATATGGCAATACTTAGTTAGCCTTCTTACGTTCGTTAACAGATCGTTCACTTAAGTGCTTAATGTTTTCTTACTGCAAAACACAACCATCTTCATCCTTCTTTGGTAAGATCTTTACAATATATTTAAGAAAAAAAATAAGTATGTCCTTGGGTTCAGTCACTTATTATCATGACAGCACTGTTGAGTTCATTCTAGGTTATGGGTTATTACTTGGTCTCCCATTGGTTATTCAATTACTCAAATTTTTAGTATTTTTGTTCTAGTTAAATTTGTGACAGAAAAGTGGTGAAGATGTATATGACCTAAGATATGTGATGTTTGCATCTATCCTTAACTGACACTGCTTCAGGATATTAAACAAAACAGGTGTTCCAATTTTTGTATTTTGTCCTAATTGGGTACAGGAGGATGGGTTTTGAAATAAATCGTTTTAGTGGAGAAGTTGATGATGAACTTCTATGTCCAATCTGTTCAGGTGTCCTGGAGGAGCCTTTACAGGTAATACATAAAATTTCAAGTATTAAAGTAGGTAAATAAACACTCATTTTTATCATTATTTATTTATTTTACATATTAATATTTTGCAGATTAAACTTTTTTTGTTAAATGGTAGTTAACATTTGCTATTTATATTACCCGTAACATATTGTGATATAGAAGATACTCTAATTACGATGATGTTTTAAACGTTATCATTTTTGTAATTGATCTGTGATAGTAGATTATTCTAAATTAATGTAGATTTAACTATAAATAAGTTTTACCATAGTATATCCATTCCTCTGCTTAACATATATTAATTCTTACTCATGTGATCATATCGGTAGTCGAGATTAAAATCTTCTCAACCCTAAATTTAATACTTTTATTTTACAATTTATTTGGTATTTTTAATCAAAGATTCTTTAACCAACAAAACATATACTTCTTTGATATTTAATATCTTGATTATTGTTCTACTTTTGTTTTTTGTCATATCATTTCCTTTTATGCTTGCTTAAAACTGCTTTGATCTAGGTTTCCTTTATGGGTTTTGTAATGTCAAAGACATATACCTATAAATAAGATTTTATCTATTAAGGACATTTTAATTTTTAAGTGAGATATCTTATAATCTAGAATATTCAAGTTGATTCTTTTGCTAGGCACCCGCTTGTGAACATGCTTTCTGTAGTACATGTATTCATGAATGGATTTCTCGGCAACCAACTTGTCCAGTTGATAGACAGTCCATTACACAATTGAGACCAGTTCCTCGGATCCTTAGAAATTTGCTCTCTAGGTTTGTACAAATAAAAGATTAAATTTTTTAATCATATTTTTAAATATATATGTATTTATTTTGTAATGTATAAACTCACCATCTATTACAAATTATTATACATTTATTTCTTATTTTGTTCATTGTGTTAGTCAACTAAAGGTTAAACCAGTATATTAAACTCGGTATTAATTTTTATTATAATTTTATATAAATCACCTAAGAATTTATGTTTAATGAAGTTAATATTTTCTTTTAATTTGTTTTTTTAAAATAAAATTTGTCTCACTACTAGTTCTGTTGTGCTATTCCATGTAGGCAACTGGTTTCACTGATCACCATATCTTGGTTATTAATAAATTACCTGCCCTTCATAAACGAAATATTTACTCAGTTGCACTCAATGCTTACATTATATTAAATTTGATCCAGTTTCCACCAGGTTCATATATATAAAGATATATATGAATGACAGCTTGAACCAACTTATCATAATCATATGTCACCTATTCATTTAAAGGTTTACTGCTTCTTAGGAAATATACCTTGCATGTTAAAAAGTATAAGTCATAAAATTATAATTTTTTTAAATATGAAAATAATTTTGTTCTACAATTTTTTAATTTATCACTGTTAAAAATTGTAGATAATATTGATATGATAATAGTGATATAAATATAATAGTGATATATATGATAATATATGATATGATAATAGTGAAATAAATATAATTTGTTGGATTCCAACCTCAATCATTCTTTCCAATCTGAAAACCAGATTATTAACCATGAGTAATAATAATCGAAGAGCCAATGTTTATTCATCCTATATGATAATTGCATTATGGTTGGGATGATTAGTCAAAATAAAAAATAGTAAAAATAAATAATTATATTTATTTTTACATTTCTCGACGTTCCGGCAATAATAATAATCATGTCACAAAAATTTTTTCTAGCAGTCAATATTTTCTCTGTACCTATAGTATTATTATGAGCAGAGAAATTATTTCAGCTGAATTGATTTTAGAATAACTGGAAGTGTTTGTCGAAATCTCCTGAAATTAAAACTGATGCATGCATCTCTTATTAATTCTGAATTATTTTGGAGATCTTATATTTTTTTTTTATTCTTCAAATGACTTTCTATGAGCCAATGTTTATTCATCCTATATGATAACTGTACACTTTTTTAAAAGTTAACCTCTGCCACGTGCTCTACTTATATTAGCTATTGAAAATTCTTGTTCTGCAACATTTAATCGTAGTTTCAAAGCAAAATGATGAACTCTTGCTCCTTGCGTTATTAGCTCTGTTCCAACTTCAGTTAGGCTATCAGAAAACTGACAGCACAGTGTGGTTTTTCCATTCTGCTAAACAGAAAAACTGTATTGTGCATGTGGCTTGTCGCTAGTCCAGATGATGTAATATCTTTTTTAATGCATTTTTCGTCCAATATTAAACTTAAGTATTGAACTCTCCTTCTCTTTGTGGTGTTTGTATTTGTAATTAGACTAAAATGTGATTACTTATTGCTAAGCATTAGTCATATAAACAAATAATTACTTCATTGAACTCAGTATTTAATTCTGAAGTGAACTTGCTAGACCTGATACAATTCTTTGCTCTTTATTACTTTGATTTTTTCCTATCATGTATTTTACTTTGTGTTGTAGACTAAGTATAACCTGTGACAATTCAATTTATGGATGTACCGCAGTTGTTAAACTTGATGCTCTTAGCAATCATTTAGCAGAATGTGAGCATAATCCAAAGAAACCAGTTCCTTGTGGACAGGGATGTGGTCTAATCATTCCAATGGATGAATTAAAGGTAAATAGATTTTAAATCCGCTTGTCAACAATAGTCTATAAATTCAAACAATAGTCTTATATTTGCTTTGCAGTCTATGATCGATAATATTCTAAAAAATTTGAGTCCAGGCTTCATCGTGTAACCTGTTTCTATGTTGCTTAAACCTTTATTCAGCAAACAATATTTTCTAGACTTCTTCTAGCTTAAGACTATTTCCATATAATAAATTCTCCTTCTATCTCTCGTCTTAAGTATTCTTTGAGGACCTCAAGCACCGGATCAGAATATTGTGCTTCAATCTCCTGATTTCTGACTATCAAATACGGATTTTAGAGTTGAGTGAATCATGTTTTACTAATAAAATTCAGATAATAATCTAAGAGGTGGTTGAGGGAGTGGTCATAATTAAAACGAATAGTAAATTAGGTAGTATTAAACTGGTTTATATGTTTAATTGGTCAGGTTGTCATAAGACAATCTTTTTTAAAAATTATTTTATTTTACATCTTATAAATTTGATTGGAGATGCTTTTGGTGTTCAAAACTATATTCTTCTCAACAAATTCTAAATAAAGTGTTAAATTAACTTATAACTTAATTTTTTTTTAAAATATAATTTCAAACTCTCAAATAAAACATTTTATAACCTTATTAATTTCAACCGAATAATAATTCCAAATATAATGTAACCAGACAAAAAACATTGTTAAAATCATTGATTTATAAATAGAAAAAGTTAGGTTCAAAGGTGTGAGATGGTATTAGTTTACACCACAATTACAAATTTAGGTTATTTAAATAAATTTTGTTTTTAATGTTGTATTTAGATTTTATGGAGATGAAAATAGTGCTGGGCACCAAAAGCATCTCAATTTGTAGGATGTAAAATAAAATAATTTCAAAAAGACGTTGTTGTTTGGTACGCAACTCAGACAAATGGTAAATTATTTTACTATTTTATGTTTTGGTATGTTTTAGACCTTTTTCCAAGCCATAAAAACAGGATACAAGAATAGTTAATCCTGATAAAGTTGAAAAATTAAACATATTTTAATAAAACTTCTATCAGGCAGTTTTGATTAAAAACAGCAATTACTATTCAACAATTTATTGGTTATTGTTATCAGTTATTTATAATTTAAATTATTATTTTAAAAAACAATCCTTATCATAAGCCTACAACATAAATACAATGACAATCTTCACTTCACAATTTAATTTGAATAAATTACCTATACAAGCAATATAGGCTTAACACTTGTAATTCTTCATAATTAATTATCTATCAAAGAACTCTTATCCCAAGTTAACTTCGAAGAGATTTTCTGAAACGAAACTCAACTAACTCTGAAATATATCTACTTACTGAACTAACACCATTTACTAAAATTCCATTAGTCAATCTGTTTATATTTAATAACTCGTGAAACATTCTATACCAGACCAAACAATTCCCTCGAATCTCATTGGTCAAAATCAGCAGAATTTCTTGAATTATCAAGTAACATTTTACAACTTATTATAATACACATATTACAAATTACTTAAAATTAAATATTACAAACAAACAGTTCTCAATAAAAATCTCTAAAATATAATGTTGATAATGTCACTTATTGATTAAGCTGACCTACTTACTAATTCTATTCAAATATTATTTTGATCTATATGTATTTTTCTTCTCATATCTTCACTTGACTATGATTAATTATATTATCTTGTTTTCATTGTCTTTAAGAAGTTATAAAAAGTAGGCGGTAAAGTCAGCACACATAAAACAGTAAAAAATGAGTTACTGTTCATTTTATTTCAGGCCACGGCTATCATCATGATTTTATCGAAAATATCTCCATAATTATTATTATTGCTCCCTTCTGTGTTAACTTAAATAACTAAGTAGTCAGTCACAATTAACATTGCTTTTATCTTTTACCATCCTTTATTTTATATTAAAAATAGTTCTGTTTTTTTATATAAATTTATTTAATACAGGATCACAACTGTGTTCGCGAGCTTAGATCTCTTATTCATAACCAACAGCAGAAGATTCAGGATTTTCAACAAGAAATAGCTGATCAGAGGTTTCAAATAAATGAACAAAAGAGAGAGTTATATATATTAAAGGTAATTAATTTTTGTCCAGTGGTGTCAATTTTTAATGTTAACAATCTGGCATATATACTACTTTACTTTAAAATAAAATTTATAATAAAAAAGGACTTCATGCGTGCAATGCGAGTATCCAATCCTGGAATGCCTGCACTTAGTGATGATATTGACAGAGAAGAGGTGTCAAGATGGTCTAATACGCTAACCAGGGCAAGAGTCACTCGATGGGGTGGTATGATCTCAACACCAGACGATATGTTACAGGTGTGTATCAAATTGTTTTAATCCATATATTTTTTTAATTAATGTTATTAAGAATAGAATATTTTTAAACCTACTAGCCAGCCATGTGCCAATTCCAAATGCCAGAGTATGGCACTTGTGCCTTGGGTTGTCCACCTCTGTCCTAGTTATTAACCTTTTTGTTGAGCGAAGCCTGAATCAAGGTCAAGTTCCATGTGTACGGGGTACTGAAGGTCTAGCCAACCCTGTGTGTGCGGGATTTATTCACTGAATTGCTCCTTTATTTTTCCACTTTTCATATTAAAATATGCTCTTTTTTTTATAACTGACTTAAACATTTTTCTGAAATGTGATGTTAAATCATATTTCAATAAAATATTTAAATTTATTTTATTTTATTTTTTTTTATCTTTCTTTTAATTTTAATATTTATTAATTGTCTTAAATTACTTTTACATTGCACTGTAACATTTACATTATTTTTTATTCTTCATTTGAAATTTATTTATTTTTATTATTAACCAATTTTTGATAATGTTTGGTATGGAAAAATTTTAAAAACGTTTCATTGTATGGGAAATTTTATTGCATATACATCAATTAAAAAAAAATATATATATATTTTTTCGAGAAAAAAAAAAGTTATTTGTAAAGATTTAAAAAGATTAGTAATTTTCAACTTTAGCACTTCAAAACACTTCCAGCTGCTGTTAGTTTTAGAGCTAAAATATGTTCAAAAGACTAGAGAACTGTGAAATAGCAGGTATAGAAAAGACTGAAGTCAGAGCCCTCACCCTAAAGGGTACCTGCGACTAAATAATCTCACTATCTAGTCATTCCAGCCACAACCTATGGCTCATGGGGTTCCCAACTAAATGATAAAAAGCTGAAGCCAATATATTGGTTCTGCTCACCAGTGGCATGGTCTTTCCAGAGCCACTAAATTGACATTATGCACTGTTGTCGTTAAAATTATTTTTATTCCTGGATAACTTTGTGAGTACATATGGCCGTTTCTTTTTAAAAACATTTTGTAATAATTGTTAGCTAAGAATATTTTATGATATTTTGAAACATCTATTGGATGTAGTATATTCAAAGACAGTAACATCACTAATTGATTTTACCAGGCAATGATAAAGAGGTCACTTTCTGATTCTGGTTGTCCAGCAAGAATTGTAGAGACTTTAATGGAGAAATGTCATGAAAGGAGTTGGCCAGCTGGTTTAAGCAGCCTAGAGACAAGGCAGAACAACAGGCGCCAGTATGAAAGCTATGTTTGCAAGAGGATCCCTGGTCGTCAGGCTGTTGTTGTGTTACTTTGTGACAACCCACATATTAATGATGACATGATGGCCGACCCAGGTCTTGTCATGATATTTGCTCATGGCATCGAGTAAATAGCCTTTGCCTAAGGGCTCATTTAATTTTATCAACCTACTGAAAAGAAACTTTTTTAAAAATGTGAACGTCAAAGTTAATTAATCTTTTATAACATCCTTTAAATGTTTATGATTTCTTTCAGCATCAAAATATTTATTAGGTTTATTTTAAAATATTTATAAAAATACAAAAAATAAAAATAGTCTTATAAATAAAAGCACATATCTTAACAGATTGATTCATGTTATTTGTATGCTTAAAATGAGAATGAAAAAGAAATGTACAGTATAAAGGTAGAGTTTAGAGTATTATTTATTGATTTTTTTTTTTAGTTGATTTCCAAATTACCAAAAAATACTTATCAAAAACTTATATAGGACTGTATTCATTCTTAAAAATGTTCCCATATGAAATATTTAACTTTGATTTGGTATCATATTTTAGCTTCTTAATTTCCATCAAAGTTAATTTTTGCAATGCTCTATTGTAAAATTGTGACAGTTTATTGTTTTTATAAATGGTACATTTTTTTCAATGATTTGGTTTTATAAAATAATGTGTGTTTAAAAAAAAATTAATTGGACTTGTCCATAGCAAGCAATTTCCTATCATAATGTACTCTTTTTCAAAAATCTTTATTTATATATATATATTAGCCTATAATCTTTTGTTTAGTTGTCAAAAACCTTGAAATATTAAAACGTGTGTATAAAATGAAGTGAGTAATGTTTTATATGTAAAAGACTGATGGACTCGTGATTTAAATTCTTCCTATTGTTTCAGTCATTATCTGCAGATCCTCTAACAATGCTTATACTAAACATTTACTTTTTCGACTACTATATTGCTGATTGTATCTATACATTAATTTAAAAATAATTAATGCACTTAACTTAAATTGTTTTTAATGGAAGTAGCATGTGACATTCATCTTAGTTTCTCATATATTAACTTAAAAAAAAAGATGAAAAAAATGCATGGTAATTATACTCTTTTCCTCTTCCAGACTTGACTGGCTTGCATTTGCATGTTTCATAAATTATTGTGACTATTTGTTTAGTGCTTGAATCTGTAAATAAGTTTGTTTTTCATTTCTTATGAGATCCTTGTCCCTTCTCAAGATTTAAAGATATTACTATATGTATGTATGTATGTATGTATGTATGTATGTATAAATATAAATATAAATTCATTTCTGATAATATACCTCTGGTTTGGAGTAGTAAACTATTTTATTGCTATACCTTAGGAATCAATAGCTCAAACTCCACCACTTCTTGCTAATCCCATTAGTATTATTAGTACTCATAACATTTAATCATTACAGCAGAATAAAATGTAAATGTAGGAAAAAGTTATTATATTTTTTAGAATTGGCAAACAAATAAAAAAATAATTTAAAATGAATAGAAAGTGTATCTGTCAGGAAAATACAATAATTATTTGAAGATTTCAAGGATCTCGTAGAAGTAAGGATTTTTAAAATTTTACAAGTAAATTTTTCTTATTTAAAAAATAAACTAACCGATATTTTATTAGCCAAGAAGGAAGTAGTTTATTTATTTTTAAACTAAAATAAAATTTTCAGAATAATATCTGTCTCAATATAGAATCATGTAACTGATGAATTCCAACTTTTCAGCAAAACTAAAAAAAAAAACATTTAAAAAATTAAATTTTCATCATATTGAGACTTTTTAAAAATCATTGAGTACTAATCACTGATATAGTATGAAGTAGAAAATATAATACAATTACTTTTTAATAAAATTCAGGTATAAAGAAAATAAACTAAGATCAAAATGTTATTTTGAACTTTATGAAATTTTTTTTTTTATACAGTTTCACATTGGAACCGATGAAATTTAGCTGCAATAATTTTTAAAACAAATTAATTAAATTGTCATGTAAACAGTATCATTATTAACATTATTAAAATGAATAATAATGTTAAATTTTCTCTAAACGTCACATGAATTACATTCCAGAAAAAAATTGTTCTGTAATAATAAATTGTTTTCATGTTTATTCGTAATGGACTAGTAAATTTCATTAAAATAATGAAGTATTATGCAATTTCATTGATATTTGATTTCAACAGATATATTTGTAGCTACACTTTTATCTGTGATATAGGGTTATTTTCTATTATATATATATTTTTTTTAAGGAAACATTTCTAAATCTTTAAATTTTTATGATTGGAAATTGCTGCTATTAAGGAAATATATTGGTATAACAAAGACTTCACACAATTACATTATTAGCTACTTGTAATATATAATATAAGAACTTGGATACCGTCTGTGATATAAAAATATATTGTCGAGGCTCCATTAATTTTTTTATAGAATAATTTTTCACTGGTATTATATACAATTTTCATACTAATAAATAAGTTTGGTGGATTTTATTATGAAAAATATTGATTATCTCGGAGCCTCAATTTACTTCTTTTTAGTTAGAAAATGAATTAATTGTTGCCAAATTTCTATTTTGTTTTTAGTTTATTCTGGCTTAGTGCATCTTTTTTCTAGGAAAAGAATTTTATGTATTTTGTGTTAAGTTCTTCTTGTCTAACAATGTAGGTTTAGGTTTACTACATCTATATTTTAATTTATAAAATTCTAATTATTGATTTCGCGATCTCTAAGCTTATTATGTGCATGGCTATTTTATAACTATCAAGCGATATCTGTTATGTTTTTACAGGCTTCTTTGCTGAAGGGAAATAGGGATAAAACTTATGATTTGCTTTGATTTCATATTGTTTTGTTTTTGCAAAATATTTCTTCTGTTCTATTGAAATGAATTTAGCAATATATTATTTTGAACATAGCTGTTGGGATTGAAATCTTATTTTTTGGCATCACTCTCAGTCTTAGTGTTGTGTTTTTTTTTTTTTTTGTGAAACTGATTTATTTAAATGTATATTTTTTTACAGATAATTTCATTTTTATTTCTTATTTTGTTTTATCTAAGTGGATGTTTGTTTCGTTTTAGGAAGTTGTTGAGTGGGGTTGGTCAGATCTCAGTTTTTATTTTAACAAACCCCTTCCCTTGTTGAACATTCCTGTATTTAACACACTCCCAATTTTTCTCATTTTATTTAATAACAGAAAAATAATTAGTTTAACAATTATCCATAAAGTGTAAATAGGAATTTTCCATAAATCAGCTATTAAATTATTATATTAGAATCGGTTCTAAAATAAAAATTATTTAATTAAAATATTGTAAGCTCTGTATAGACTGGATACTTTCATTGATTGTGCAAAATGTTTGTTTACGGCTATCAAACACGCTACAGGATACAAGTTGTACTCTTACTTGATACATCAAACATGAAAAAGTTAATTAACTATTTTTGAATTAAATGAAGTATACATAGTAAATTTCTTGATGTTTTTATCAGAATTACAAAAGAAATGATTTTGTCGGAATATTGTATTCTTCAAATATTTGTTTGTATTTAAATCATAATATTATTAATTTATGTGTTTAAATTTCTTTTTTTGGTATAAAATTAAACATATCAAAACATACATAAAAGCTTAAAGAAATGGCAAAACTTATACAAGGAAATAATGTTCTCGATTTATTTTCAACTTCTATTTTTAGGTATTTCATTCTTCTTGTGATATTTCTTCTATTAACAATTTGAAAACATTCGTCAAACAGCAGCTATTTTGGAAATGTTATATTATTTTACTTTGTATTTTTCTTTTTTTAATTTTTAAACAAAAAATGAATAACAGTGTTGTATCCTGCAATAATCTATCTAATCTGCAACATTGCTAAAGACTGAAGAATAGGGTGGATTTTTTTATAGTCTAAAATTTTATAAGTACTGCTAGGAATATTTTCCTGTTGACTTTTTAAGTTATTGACAATTTTGATGAATGGTTCCTTTTTATATTGACAGTAATTTCTTTTGCCTGTTTGTAAATTTATATTTTTTAATAAACTAGTTTCTAGAATGAAAGGTCCAGAGTGACTTCTTGAATCCATTCAAATTAGTATTGGATTCTAGTGATATCCAGTGATCATTTAATCAGTGTTATTGTTGAGTGGATATTTTGTTTGTTTTTTGTAATAAAATTATATGATAACCCTAGTTATTGTTAAATTTTGTTGATTTAAAGTAAGCTGTGCTGTACTGAGAATGAATGCTGAAGAGAAAATTACTCAATGAATTTTGTTTTTAAGATTTATAAATTTCGATATGTGTTAAATTTTAGCTAGTCATAATTTTAAAATTATATATATGATTTATTTAAGGATTTTTATTATTTAAACAAAAAATTCATTTAACTGTTTTGTTTTACAAAAAATAAATAAATAAAAATATTGGATATTATGATAATTATAATACCTTTGAAAATCTATGAATGATGAAGAACTACTCAATAAATTATATTAACTTAGTTTGTATGGTTTGATGCAGAATATGTATTAAGTATTTTCAAAAACAAATAAATTTCGTCATAAAATCCCTTGTTATTTTTTTTCTAATATATGTGTGTATATGTATATATATATATAAATATATATATATATATATATATAGAGAGAGAGAGAGTGAGAGAGAGAGAGAGAGAGTGAGAGAGAGAGAGAGAGATTTGAAAGCAGACTTAGGCATTATTCAAACAACAATTTATTTTATAGCAAAAAAAACAACTTTTAATAAAAATTAACATTAATGAGTAAATATTTTAAATAGAAAGTAACGGATGCACATGTCAAAGTCTGCTTTAAATGAATCGTTGAACATGAAGTTGCTCCCTTTTTTTATTTATTTATTATTCAAGGTTAGGAAAAAAAAAGTCTATAACAGTATGACCTTTAGTTGTAGCTATTGCCAAAGTTCTTCAAGTTGCTATATTTACTCCTCCATCTACTTTCTTCTGGGGCACTGTTTATATTCTGCCTATTCACCTCGTACTTTCCTGTTCCATTTCTACCTCGTGCATTTGAGGATGTTGAAGCTGCATCAGTGCTGTAGTTTAATGACGTATATGTCTGCAAAAAATAAATATCCAAAAAGAAGATGGTAAATGATATTAATTCATTACAATAGAACGCTGTAAGCTACTCATGGCTTTATATCTTTTTTTCTTAAACTAAAACCTGTGTGATATCAAGTTATTGGTTTGAAAGATTTTGGGGTAGCCACCATGGAACAATTTTTCTATTGAGGAGTAGAGCTGAGTGTAAACACTCCCTTTCACATGGTCCTTTGATGCTACGTCAAAAATTGATAATGAAAGGAGATTTGTATTCACTAGAACATAATCATCTCGAAATTTATGTTACAACCCTGTAGATATACCATCATTTTATTACTTCGTGATGGTAGGATTCAATATATTTTTTTTTTTTTTGTTCTTGCCTTTTAGGCAATACAATGTTTTCTTTTTCTCAGGAAGGAGATTAATGCTAGGGTTAAAATCACTCTTCCCCTTCCCCCGAAATTTTGGCAAATTTGTATTTATTTTATCCAATATTTTTCATCAGGTTGCCAGGCAACAAGGTGCTTTACTCACGTGTTAGCCCTCTCAGCTACCTCGCCCCTTGGTTTTAATATTGTGTTGCATAGAATACATGTATATTGACTGCATTTTAGTTAAAAATATGGTGAACCATGCGAATCACACAACTTGTACTTTCCACTCCATATTTCTTTTGTATTTTTATTTTTTAATTTGTACCTGTTGGTTACAATTATCAGCAATTACCAGGTGAACTGGCTTAATAATGAGATTTAAAAAAACCTATATTATAGGTTTGTTAACTTTCATCTGTGTACTAAAAAATCGTTACCACTAAAACCTGCAAAGGACCATGGGTTCAGTATTTTATAAGGAAGTACTATTTCAAGGCCAAGGGAGGTGATCAGGCCGGGATCAAACTCAACCACCAGGTTTTCTTCCTTAATCAATTCTTTAATTCTTCCTTAATTAGTTGAGAGTAACCTCTTGATAGAGGCTGGTCTCCAGACCCCAGGGATGACCCATGGTTTATTTAACTGAATAAATAATTACCTGACATCAATCGAATTTGAAGCTTAGGTAGTCAGTGTCTTGTTCACTGAGCTACCCTACTCCCAATGAGATGATAAATAAAATAAAAGATGCTTTATTGGCATAAAGAATGCCTGAGGAGTCGAGAAAAGTTATTATCTGCCCACTCCACAAGAAGGGAGATCAGTTGGAATGCAGCAACCACTGGAAGGAGAAGAGGTGTAATGATGAACTAACGAGACTATACAACAATGTAGACATAGTCAATTTCGAGGAGCAGTATATGTGTGAAGAATGGCTGCCAACGAGATTTCGAAAATGATCCTCACTGAAGAATTCCATGGGAAACGGTGAGTTGGACGACCGAACGTGCGATGGATGGACTCGGTCTCTGCAGACACGCGGATCCTTCTTGGAGTCCGAAACTGGAGGAGACCCAGTCTCTGTGACGGGATGTCACGCCACTTATTTGTTCCAACTTATTAAAGAATCAAGAGCCACTAGAAATTAGCACCCAGTAGCTATTTAGGCCATCTCCAATATTTATATTTGAATCTATTTCACTTACCTTAGGTTGGAACTGCTTTGGCATTGAAGCCCAGTCTATTTATTATAATTAATAATCATGTAATGTTGAAATTCTTACCTATCTCTTACCATATGGGTCATATTGTCTGTGATTTCAATTATGAATTCGTGAAACTTCTCCTTTCTCTAATACTTTCTTTTCCAACAAAACTCTGCCAGGTATCCATCCATATGTTACTCCTTTCTTTAAAACGCATGTCCCTCCATGACCTCTCTATATTTTGCGTATGAGTTCCTGTGTCTGGGTACACAAAGTTATAACGATGATTAACAGTCAGGTGTGTGTATTAAGGGGTTCGTACCCTCGCCACCTATCAGAAAAGATTATAGTACCTGGAGCAATTCTTTGAAGAGTTATACCTATGAGGGTAGCCGCTTTCCTATCGGGGATATTTACAAAATAGCATTTCTTGGTTCCCCTTTCGAAGTACCCAAAAACCCAAAACCCATCGATGTACCGACCGACATGAAATTTCCTCCTTCCAAACTTCGCTTCATCTATTTCCACTTCTATTCCTTCACCCCCAATTATATTATCACCTCTTATCATCAGTGTTTCAAGGCGAATCTCTCGGCAAAAATTTGGTCAGTCTACGTTCTACGTACAGTTCTACAGGACATTTTTAGTTTTGACATATCTGCTTGCCGGAGATGACGTTCCAACCATGATGACCAACCACATTGGATTAAATTCATATGTGGTCTTCAACAGGAGCCTTGATCCCTTCAGCCAGATGTTTATTTTCATTGAAATAGAAAAATTACACCTAATCATAATCCCATTAATCATTGTGGACTTGTCGCATCTGAAAATCATTAAGAAATTAAATCAATTAATTAAATGAATTCAATTGATGAAAGATATAATAATAATTAATGAAGCTATGTAGTTGTTTGAAATATAGATATTTTTTGCTAAAGTATAACAATACAATTTTTGTTGATAGAATTATTAAGTAACCACTGATTTGAACCTGCTCAGGTTTCCCAATTAAATTACTAATTTACACAGTATAAACCAAACAAGGTACTCTGTCATACAACATGGTATCTGGATTTTTTTATGTTGAAGTATTGGGCAACACCAGATTGTTTACCGCTGATTAAATGGGGCATTCATAGAATCTCTAGAGATTTCCTAGGAAATGTGTTTCATTCTTTAATAGCTATGTTTGCATTAAGATAATAATAGGGCCTATAGATCGAAGCATTGTAGGCAACTTATAAATTAGCATAGATACAATTTTGTTATGTATCATGTTTTGAAACATTTAACAAGTATTGAGTTACTCAAGGCTAATATCTGCATTCCATTTACAGTGTGACAAGAAATCTCGAATGGTCATCCCAAAGAGGCACTCTAATAGAACTGCCATAAATTATTAAAATGCAATAGTTGTTGGAAAAGTAATATACCATTTCGAAAACAGAGAACATGTTTTAGAGATTAAAGATTTAATGTGTATAGTGAAGATGAGATGTTTTAATAATAATGGACCCGACAAAATTCCCCACAATGTGGACAGGTGAACATGAGTCTCATCACCCGTCTCATCATAACGTTGAAATGGAACAAAAAAAGAAACTGTTCTGCAGTGAAGTCAAAAACCAAATGGCAGTTTGTTTAAAATTAAACGAAAATAAAATACTGGAAAATCATGATGGTGAGGGATTTTTTTTTTTTTAATCTATATGTGGAGAGATTAGCGACGGCGCTTTTTGAAACTACCAGCTGAAGATTTGCCGGAAATTAACGTAAGACAGGAAGCGCACGATGGTTAGTAGTCGTAAGAATTTCAAAAAGTAGTAGGGGAAAGAGTAGTAGGGGCAACGGGCGATAAGAAGTTCCTCGCCAGCACTAACGGATCCAGGATTTAATTTTTTTTTTTGGGGGGGAGGCTTCATTCCGGAAGTTTTTTTTTCATATATATAACGATAATTACCTTGGAAAAACAGAAAGATACTAACTACCTATTGAAATGGTATTTAAGTGATACTTGAAATCCTATTAAATGCAATTAAACTAGTAATAATACTTTAAGACATAATATTTTAATGTTTATTACCATTAAACATGGTCAAATTTTACCATTTTAGGGGGGCTTCAGCCCGGAAGCCTTCCCCGGTAGATCCTCCTGTGCCCCCAGGAAAGGCGGGTAACCTAATCGCTATATCATAAACTATAATTCAGGATAAGCGTTCATCCCACCTTCAAAGCCTGCAGGTATTATCGTAATCATTACCAAAATTATTTGTAAGTAATACAAAATAGACTCATTCAACAATATTTAATTTTCATTTTATTTAATGTGTGTTATTATCATAATAAATTAATGTTATAATCAAGCAAGTAACAAATAAATTTAAATTAGCAATTTCAATCAATTTTTCATGATACATCTGTTCGATGGATGAGACCATCCATAAACTAATTTTAAAGCAGTTAAAAAGGTAATCTTCGACCTCTCTAACCACGTTCTTTCTCTTATAGATACGTTTTTTTTTTTACTAGTCCTACGTTCTAGTTGTTTTTGTTACAAATCCCGTCGTCTTTAAAATATTTGATAGCCTCTTCTTCTGAAGACGGCAATCCCCACAATGTAATAACATCCATTTCAACAATAAACAATCGAACAAAAATAACCAATGCAATAACTCACACGCAACAGATTACACGAGATAAAAAGGCAGGTTATGTGACGTAAGATGAGATAAGCAAGTGATGTAAGATTAAATAAGCAGGAAGTTTAACTGCCGACCGGATTGTTCACATCACTAGCTGACCCAGGATTTAATTTTGGAGGGGGCTTCAGCCCGAAACCTTTTTTTTTTAAATAAAAATAACGATAATTACTTTGGAAAAACATAAAGAAACTAACTACCTATATGAAATGGTGTTTAAGTTATTCCTTAAGTACTTTTAAATGTAATTACACGAACAAT